TATGACTAACTTGGGCTTATTAATTTCAACGAATCTAAGTAAGTTGGATACAGCCCCATGGTTCATTCAAATTGTCATTTAAAATGTACACATTTAAAATAAGTAAAATAATGCTGCTTTATTCCATGCCAGACCATTGGCCATCCTATCTCATTGTTGTCTCCAATGAATGGCAGAGGCGCTTCAGGGTTTCATGCAAGGGTCTTTCTTTCCTGGCTCTACCAGGAGATGGTATTGGGGATTGAATCTGGTCCCTTCCGAGCTACAACCATTCCTCCAAAGAAGCTGGAATTCAGTCTAAAGTCTGGAAGATGGACATATAGATCGCCACATTAGTGGGGAGGGGGCAGGGAACAGAAAGAAACGTGAGAACCAGAAACTGTTGAAACCTAATTGCCAGGTAAACCTTGGCAACTCTGCTAATGTTCTCCAGATACACTTTGCAAAAGAAAAAAGAAGAAGTCTAAACAGTCGAGATATCAACTACCTGGGGATAAAATGATCCTCTGCTGTCTCTCTGCCCTCCATTACATACTTCAAAAGGCATTAACCAACCCAGAGCCTTCCTAAATAAGAATGTCAGAGAGGTCCATTTGCGAAAGGGTTGTAAAGGGGGAGGAGGCGAGGCAACCGCAGTGGATGTATTTAGTGAGCTGAAATGCATGAACTTGACTGAACAAGTATTGATCAGGGAGGTCAAAGAGGGCACACCCAGCGCAGGGAGGCCGCCTAACGAGCGCCGGAGTGAATCTCTGACAATTAGATGAGGCTGGACCTTTAGGATTACACACTGAAGCCGTATGTTGGTCAAGGATAAAAAGAAAAATAATGAACAGGAAGAAAGCCCTCTTTGCTCTCTGGCAGATAGAGGAGACTTTCTGCAGCTCAGCACACGGAAAAGGAGGAAGGCAAATTCCAACAAAGTTCCAGGACAGAAATCCACCCTGGAGGGAATATTTGTCATTGTTCAATCTCTTTACAAATGACTTGGATGAAGGAATTGAGGGGATGCTTATCAAATTTGCAAATGACACCAAACTGGGAGGGGTAGCTAATGCCACAGAAGACAGAATCAGGATTCAATATGACCTTAACAGTTTGGAGGACTAAGCCCAAACTAACAAAATGAATTTCAATAGGGACAAATCTAAGGTTCTACACTTTAGGAAGAAAGAACCAACTGCAAAGGACCAACTTACCTTTTCTACTGGTAAGCCAGGTGTCCCTCATCTTTTATGGTACACCTGGCATACCAGTACAAAAGGATCTAGGGGTCTTAGTAGGCCACAATCTTAAGAGGAGTCAATAGAATGATGCAGTGGGGGGGGGGGAACTAATGGTATCCTTGGCGGCATCAACAGAAGTAGAGTGTCCCAATCAAGGGAAGTAATAGGACCACTCTATTATGACTTGGTCAGAGCACTCCTGGAACACTGCATCCAGTTCTGGGTGCCACAATTTAGGAAGGATATTGACAAGCTGGAATGTGTGCAGAGAAGGGCAAACTAAATGATTAAGGGTCTGAAAACCCAGTCTTATGAGGAGCGGTATGTTTATCCTGGAAAAGAGGAGACTGAGAGGAGATATGATAGCCATCTTCAAATATCACATGGAGGATGGAGCAAGCTTTTTTTCTTCTGCTCTGGAGGCTCAGACCAAAACCAATTGATTCATGTTACAAGAAAGGGTATTCTGACTAAACACAAGGAAGAACTGTTTGACAGTAAGAGCTATTTGACAGTGGAACAGACTCCTTTGGGAGGTGGTGGACTCTCCTTTAATGGAGGTTTTTAAGCGGAGGTTGGATGGCCATCTTTCATGGATGCTTTAGTGGAGATTCCTGCATTGCAGGAATTTGGACGACATGACCCTTGGGGTGCCTTCCAGCTCTACAATTCCAAGATTCTGAGATTCTATGATTCTTTGCTGACAGCCTAAAAGATACTTGTGCACCGTACATATAACTTCTGTCCCATGGCCATGAAAATGGCAGCCTGCCCCTTATCATATGGGGACCAGTCCTCCATCAGTTGGCATTATCCTTCTGAATGCCAGTTGCTGGGAATTGCACGAGGGGAGAGTGCTGTTTTGCTCAGGTCCTCCTTGAGGGTTTCCCATAGGCATCTGGTTGACCACAGTGGAAACAGGATGCTGGACTAGATGGACCACTGTCATGATTCAGCATGCTCCCCTTACATTCTCATGTCCCACTTAGAATAACTTTGCACTTAACGCTCATTGAAATCAAAGATCCTTCACTTAGTTGTGACTCACTTTCATTTTAATGGAAGATAAGCTCAACTAGCGTAGCTTGGACCCAACCCATTAGATATAGCTTCTTATGTCTTTATACCATTAACTGTTGTAGCTGAGAAGCAGGTGACTCCTCCATCCAGCTGTGGCCGGATGCAGTACTGTTCTGTTCTGTGTGGTTTGCCTTTCCTTATCTGTACGCTCTGTCCACCAAGCCCAGCAAAGGTTGGCTCTTATAAAGACCTTCTGGTGTTCAGGTTGTCAGTGAGCTAAGCAATCATTGCTCTGAGCCTGAAATGTGGTGAAGAGGGTAGCTGGTGCTTACTTTCCTACCTTGCTGGGGTAGCAATGGTACCCAAACATCTCTTCGCTAGCTCTCTGTGAAGGAACAATGTCATCCACAATGGCTTTTCACAAGCATCTCCCAATGGTTCAGCAAATACATCCTTCTAGTTCTCTTAATACCCCCCTGGATGCATATCCGTTTGCAATGCTGATTTGCAACTACCTGCTCCCTTCCAAGTATTCTCTCACATGCCTTCCATCAGAGGCCTGAGTGCCAAGGTTTTCATTACTTCCTAATGGCCCATAGGCTGGCTGTATATATTTTTCTTCTTAAAAACCAATTAAAAACAAAACGTTAAGTAGCTCTGGCCGATCTAGAGAAGCCATTGATTTCATCTCCGTTCCTCATCTATTAATGGGTATACCTACTCCATCGTAAATCTCTCCCGTTGATATATTTGAAAAAGCCCTTCACTGCGTACCTCCACCCGGGGCCAGCATCAATTCATTCTCTTGTCTACCTGCCCTTGAAACCCAAAATGGTTCTTGCTGCTTTGGCTAGCTTGCATCTCCTTTGTGCCTTAGGACTGCAGGGTTTGTTTGTTTTTCTGCAATTTCTCTCTAATGTCTTTAAGATGAAGATCCCACAAATCCTCCCTGACCAGAGCTTGGTCCTCAAGCCTTCTGCAGAAGGATCACCATCTTATTACCCTTAATTACAGGTGAGGTGTCAGATTAGGCACAGCAGCTGCTTTTCACCCCATGCATACCTCAAACTAATGACTTGCCCACACAAATAGCAAAAATACAGACTCACAACCGGCTAGAAAACATCCATAATACAGGCCAACCCCCATGCTGTCAGATATCACATATCTAAAGCATGAGAGGGAGAGATGCCCAAGCTCTTCTTGGAAAGCTACAGAGAGGGAGGTTCTGCACCCTCCCAGAACAGCTAGTTTGATTGCTCTTAAATTTGCTTAACTTGGATTTATTTCCCAAGTATTCTCAGCTTTTATATATATATACAAAAAAGCAACTCATATGCAGCATCCTTGATCCACAAGCATGCACTCACCCACCAAAGAAAAGAATAGGAAGTAGGGGAGATAAATTCAGAATGAGAGGGGAAAGAAAATTAGAATGAATAGAGGAAGGCAGGAAGAAAGTGGATAAAGAAGGGGAATGAAAGTGTAAGAATATACTAATATACTATTGTTAAAAGATTTTAAAGCTCAAAAGAAAAGTATTCATTTGTATAGTCTGTTCCCACCAATCTACTCTGTTTCTTTGTGCAAAACAGTCTAGCTCCATGGGTGGTATTGAACAAAGTTGTACTCATAATAGAGTTATTGAAATTAATGGGCTTAACTGCGTTATGTTCATTACTTTGCCAGTGTGGTATAGTAGTTAAGAGTGGTGGGCTCGTAATCTGGTGAACCGAGTTCGCTTCCCCACTCCTCCACATGCAGCTGCTGGGTGACCTTGGGCTAGTCACACTTCTCTGAAGTCTCTCAGCCTCACTCACCTCACAGAGTGTTTGTTGTGAGGGAGGAAGGGAAAGGAGATTGTTAGCCGCTTTGAGACTCCTTAAGGGGAGTGAAAGGTGGGATATCAAGTCGAAACTCCTCCTCCTCCTCCTCTTCTTCTTCTTCCAAGGGGTGATCTCTGAGCAAATCTTAGTTGAATACTACCCTATATGCCCACCTGGCACCTGCTCAAAAGACATCGTTCCTACTGTGTCCAGCTGCATGTGAGAACAAAGCCTGTACCTCCCTATAGTTCTGCCCCTTGTCTTCCTTCTACCCAAGACCCTGATTGTTGCTTCCACAGTCCTTTCCCCAAGGTAGTAGTTTTAAAGTGTTCCAGCTCTGGAGAAATCTTTTCATGCTGACTTGTCAACTAGTCTCAAGGAACCCCCGCCCCGCTCACTGCATGCCCCCCCCATTAGCAACGGAACCCAAGAGAATTCAGGGAACTATTATAGGGTGAATCAACTCAGTTTGTTCAAGGCAGGACATAGGAAGTTGACTTATAACCAGGTCAGAGTATTTATTCATCTAGTGCAGCCTATTCCAGCCTCCCCCAACCTGGTGCCTTCTAGATGCTTTGGACTTCAACTCCCGTCTGCAAATACCCTGCAATCCGCACGTGCTCCTTACATTAGGCTTTTGCAGCAGGCAGTAAAAGACTAAGAGACACCCACAGAGCAGCTCAATCCTTTGCTAAGAAGTAGCTCCCGTCAAGTTCCGTGGGAGCATGAGTGCATAGGACCGCAAGCTTATAACGCCTTCCTATCCATGCCTACTCAGAAGAAATCCCCACTGAGTTGCATGGGGCTTACACTCAACCAAAGGCCACATAGGGAGCTGCCTTATCAGGTCGTCTAGATCAGTATTGCCTTCACTGACTCTGGCAGCAGCTCTCCAGGGTTTCAGGCAGGGGCCTTCCTGAGCCCCAGCTACAGATGCTGGGGACTGAGCCTGGGACCTTCTGCACGCAAAGCAGATGCTCTACCATTGAGCTAAGCCCCTACCTGCAGCTTTAGCTCTCACTTTCACCCACTACAGACCTTTACAGTTGTGGATAGCTGTCAGCACATGTCTCCCCTGCCCCTCTCCAACCCTACTAAACACCCCAGCACCCTCATTGTATTTAGGTATCCAGGACTGAACACCACATTGCCAGAGGATCAGAAGACAGTTAAGCACAGGGGTACTTCCGTGGATGGATTCTGGTAGCGGCTTCAGGCAAGCTGCTATTCTCACATTTTCAGCATTTGCAAAACTGGGATGGCAATACAAATGAGGGGACTACTGTGAAGCAAGGTAGGGGAAGTGTTCTGAAGTTTCAACTGGGCTGAGAGAGAAGATATAAACAGTAAGCTGTATTTCTATGCACCTGGGTATAGCTTTTGTTAAGTAGATTACAGATTAATGGCTGGGGATGGCCAAGGAAATGTCTCTCAATGGGAGCCAATGGCTACAAAATAGTTGAAGATGTCTTTGGAATGTTCTGAATGGGGAATGTTCTGTTTGGGGAAGATGACACCCCCCATATAGAGGTGTACACCATTATGGTGTGGAGTAAGTGGACATTGAGAAAAACTCCCTGCTGGAACTTGGGGTCACCCAATGAAGATAAATGTTGGAAGATTCAGGACACATGAAAGAAATGCCCCTACAGAATTTACTTCGCACAAGATGGCCATCCACTTGGGCAGTTTTAAAAGAGGTGATGACAAATTCATGAATGATACAATGGCCACTAGTCATTAAGGCTATTTTCTGTCTCCATTTTCAGAAGCAGTGCTTGTTGCTGCGAATCCCATGCAGCATTCAAGTCCTACTTGTAGGCTTCCAATGGACATCTGACAGGTCTTTTGTTATGTGTGTATGAGAGAGAACCATAGAATTGTAGAGTTGGAAGGGTCCCCTAGGGTCATCTAGTCGAACCCCCTGCTATGCAGGAATAAGAGAGAGCTAACAAGAGAACTTGAGTTGAAACAGAGACACACAGAGCTATCTCACATCAGATTTCCAGAGAGAGGCAACAAGTACCTTTCTTAGGGGATCTGATGGGGAGTAGCAGAACCCAGTCCTCCTAAGGAGCACTATATTGGTTGTCTCCACCTATGATCAGCTTACGTATTTGTGTTGTTGTTTTAGTCGTTTAGTCGTGTCCGACTCTTCGTGACCCCATGGACCAGAACACGCCAGGGACTTCTGTTATATGCCTGTTGTCTTTGTCCATGGAGTTTTCTTGGCAGGTATACTGGAGTGGCTTGCCGGTTCCTGCTCCAGGTGGATCACGTTTGGTCAAAACTCTCCACTATGACCTGTCCATCTTGGGTGGCCCTGCACGGCATAGCTCATAGCTTCTCTGAGTTATTCAAGCCTCTTTGCCACGACAAGGCAGTGATCCATGAAGGGGTACGTATTTGTAAATAAATATAAAAATGCAAAAGGAAAAGGCCACTGTTAAGTCTCCAGTGACCTGTCTTTCCAATGCAAGCCAAACCCAGGTAAGAACTACTCCTCGAACTCACACTGCTTAAGGGAGCAGGGAGTGTGTAACCGTATTATAAGTTTTGGGTCCCCGTTTTTAATCATCACATGTGATGAAAGTTTTTAAATGCAGCCATCTGCTTTAGCTGCCAAGGTAACCTCAGAATATGGTGGCGGCTCTGTTGAGAGAAGCGTCCGCACACCCCTGTCTCATTTAAAGTCCACCAGAGTCATCTGCTCCAAGACGGTGACTTTCAACAAGAGCGGAGCTGGAGTGCCAGGATCAGTTAAGGCCCTTTGAAAAACCTCGTGCCTGTATGGCTAGCCCCACTGACTGCTGACATCAGCTTGACTTTATCACCTTCTTAAAGATGAGTATTTTATTCATAAGGCTACGCCTCCCTGAATCCAATCAAGTTTTCACATCAATTAGGCAGACTGACATCAGGTTTAACAATGTTTCCCTGTTCGAGGATTGCCAAATCTAAGTGTCTGCAAGTCATGAGACCTGGGCCATTCCACCACAGTGGTGTGAGATGTACCAAGTGTGAGGGAGAGACAGTAAAACTGCTGGTTTGTGGAGGGAGATTGCCTTAGTTAAAATTTTATTTCGACTAAGGGCTGGGGATGAAAAAGAAATAAACACGAGATATTAAGTATTAGGGTGACTTAGGTGCAGTGATACTGGTGTTTATTGCAGGTGCCTAATCATTAGAGAAACATGCACAACCTGTTTGCCCAGAGATCATAGCAGGTCAGGAAAAAATGATGCATAGTATTGTGGGCAATGATGTCTCTGCCATGCAGCCTTCGTAAGTTACTGGGAGGTTTCATAGAATCATAGAATTTTAGACTTGAAAGGGAACCCAAGGGTCATTATTCTAACCCCCTGCAAAGCAGGAATCTTTACTAAAGCATCCATGACAGATGGCCATCCAACCTTTGCTTTAAAACCTCGAAGGAAGGAGAGTCTACCACCTCCCAAGGGAGTATGTTCTACTCAAAACAGCTCTGACCATCAGAAAATTGGCTGCAACACAATTATTTTTATACATTCACACATGAGGGAAAATAACATTACAGTAGCAGCAACTTCTACTGCAAGACCCAGCATCAGATCAAAGGACATGGGGAGCCCCTTTTGGGAAATGTCTGAAACTGAAACCCCCAACCTTCCCCAGACCCATACACCAGGGGCAGGCAACCTAAGGCCCGGGGGCCAGATGAGGCCCAATCGCCTTCTCAATCCGGCCCGTGGACAGTCCGGGAATCTGCGTGTTTTTACATGAGTAGAATGTGTGCTTTTATTTAAAGCGCATCTCTGGGTTATTTGTGGGGCATAGGAATTCATTCATTTTTATTTCCCCCCAAAATATACTCCGGCCCACCACATGGTCTGAGGGACAGTGGACTGGCCCACGGCTGAAAAAGGTTGCTGACCCCCCCCATACACTATGCTTTCTCATTTGCTCTTAGTCAGATACAAGCAAACACACATGGGTCCATCTCTCCTCATTCAGGTCGGTCTGCAACTCCCTGCCCCTTCCCTATGTTTACAGGGACTAATACGCTCTTGGTGGTGTCCAGGCAAACCTGTTGATATTCCTCCAGTTTGTGAAATTTGTTTTATTCTGCGATAAACATGTTCCCACTGTGGGGAGTTTTGAAGAAGCAAGGAGAAAGTAGGAGCCCATCCTGAGCATCGGGAAGTAGTTAAATCCCAGCAACGGGTCCCTATTTTTCCAGAGCCCCCATTTGTAGATCACTCAGCATAATGGCTAATTCAGCATCACCACCACTCCTCCACAGAAAACCCCACTCCCTTGTGTGCCTCCTTCTCTGGGGTGGGGTGGGGGAAACAGGGACCAATATGCACCCATGGCTTCTAGTCAGATCAATGTAGCACCTTTCAGTGTTCATTTGACCCAAGGAGCAGGCAACTAAGCCGCTCCTTAAGGCTGTCTCCTTGCAACACCAGAGGGGCCTCTTGGCTTATTGTTTTAAAGGCTGTCCAGAGGCTGTTTAGGTGAATCAGCGCATTTCTTGCGAACATTCCCAGAGGATCTTTCCACATGCGCCACAATCTATTTAGAAGTTGGCAAATGCTAATGCTCTGGGAGGTCCCAGAAGGACAGTCTTTGTACCACCTCTTCCAGCAAGAGAGAAACCGTCTAGCACACCGCTGTCTACCTAGCAGAGCCAAGTTGCATGAGCACGCACAAGCACCACGTCATGCTATGCAATGTGCAATCGCATGGACACATAACTTCGTTTCAAGGCACACAAGGGAAAGCACAGAGAGAGAGGGAGAGGTGTTGGGGCCCTTTGGAAAGCATACCTTTCTGGCTTTGAAACCCAACAAACCCAGATGCATCCCTGGCAGACTGCAGTTACTCAGTCATGATCCATGCACTCTGCACATCCTCAGAAAGATGCTTTCTCTCCAGGCACCTAAACACTTGATGTCAGAACATGAGGAAAGGAGATAATTTTTCCAGAGGTGGTCTAGGGTCTTTGGGACTAGCTGGGCTGCAAGTGCAAGAAGAGTGAATAGGCTGTTTGCTGTGCAATGGGCAGAGGTGGGTGGGACAGGCTATTAACCTGCATAGGGTTCTGAGGTAGGGGTGTGGTGCACATTAGATCATTTGTGGCGGATGAATGGCGCAAATCATTTTATGAGCACATAGGGATGAAGCAACACCCCTTTCTTTAAAAGCAATGTTCAGCTGAACTTCTTTCCTCACTGCCCACCCTGAAATCCCTCCACCTCTGACTCCCAATTTTATATGCGCCAGTACTGCCCTTAAACTCATAGATGAAACAGCCCAGAAATTAGCATTGCGTATTCCTTTTCTGCTGGAGCCAAATGCGGGTGAAAAAGAGCTTGTTTTGATATTTGCAGGAGCAAATTAATTTGGGCCTTCAGATAAGATCTCAGACACACCCCGATGACACTTACACCCCCAGCCACAGAGGCTGATAACATCATCGGCTGCCTTTGCTGCTGCTGCCTTTTTCGCCCGTTTCTAGGGTTATGAAATACATATTTTGTATAGCTGGCTAATGCCAAAGTTTCAAAATCCATGTAATTAAGATTAATTTAAGAGCTGCATTGGATCATCTTGTGGCATCCACCCATTAATTAAAGAAACACTTTGAATTTCAGGTGCCTGCCTTAATATTTCACTCCGTGCTGGCACAGCCAAAGTGAACAGCCAAGGAAATAAAAAATGCCCAGGTGCACAAAGCAGGGAGTGATCGGTAAAGATGAGGCTCTGTACTCCTGGGAGACAAGTGCCCTCTTCTGGACAGCATCTCATGATGGGGGAAGAGAACTATTCACACACACAGGCCTGTCTCTGTCTATCTACTGGTTATGGAGGAAGCCCAACTAGGGACTATAATATGCTGGTTATACAGAAAATTAACTGCAGGTTTGGCAGGCCTGAGGGAAGCCTGTTGTTTTTTTTCCCCCCTTATCAGGCTAAGGCATGGGGCTTTGTTGTGGTCCAGCCTCAGTCAATGAAGCAGGAGATTCATCAGCCACTGAGGATTTTCAAGTGCAGCGCATCAAAGAAACCACTGTTTCCCAGGAATAAACTGGGATTGTCAGACAGCCTGGGCTCTTGTCCTAACAGTCCGTTGACCAAATCAGAAGAAACACAAATTCCATCTGAGCCATTTTTGTTGTAGGAGCAAGGGCAGATTACAGGGTGTCAGATTCCACTGTAACTCTCTACGAAAGCTTTCCTTTCTAAAAAATAAAAGCACTCAGCGTATGCTCATGGGAACACTAGCCTTGTGGCTTTCTGTATTCATAGGGATGCAGGAGGATGCCTTGTACTGTATTACAGCATTACTTCGTCTAACTCAGTAGTGACCACACGGGCAGGCAGCAGCTCTCCAGGGTTTCAGATGGGAAACATTCCTAGCATCTACCTGGAAATGCTAGGGATTGAACCCTGGGATCTTCTGCATGCAAGGCACCATGACAGTGATGTATTGGTTTTTGGTCACCCCAGGAACAGGGGTTTTTGTAGTGGTTGCCATAGATGAGATTCAGCTCAGATTCTTTTGGATTGAAGAACATTACAGGCAGATGCCCTACTACTGACCTACAGCCCTTTCCTAAAAATAAGGCAAGAGCCTAGTTCTTTTGGCTCTGAATAAAGGGCTGATTTAAATAAAGATCAGATCCAGAGTCAGACCCAGTGGCACCGCGTCCCTTTTCACTGCTTGAGGTAAAACAGAAAGTGCCACCATGTCCTGCCCTGCTGCCACTGCTTCTCTGCCTGCCTTGTCGCCTCCACCACCGGGACAGAAGCAGCGCCATCATCGGCACCAATTTCAGGTAAGATTTTGCCCAATTTGGGAGAGATCTCACTGAAATTGTACGAGACCTTGCATGCTCCACATCTTGCACATTTTTGGCCGTGATTTCAGCTGAAATTGATGATGGTTCTGTGCTGGAAGTGGAGTCAGTGGGACAGGGAGGGGCTGCTGCCTTGAGAGCTTCTGCTGCCTGAGGCAGCCGCTTCAGTCTGCCTAATGGCTGAGCCAGTTCCGGTCAGACCATTGGTCCACAGAGCTCAGTATTGCTGACACTGACTGGCAGGAGCTCACTGAGGTTTCAGGCAGGGGACATTCCCAGCCCTACATAGAGATGCCAGGGTTGAACCTGGGGCCTTCTGCATGCTCTGCCACTAAGCTACAGCCCTTCCCCTCAAAAATGTTCATTTCCCTTGGGAAAATGTAATAGGCCGCGAGACAACGTATGCATGAAAAAGCCACAAAAAGCCACATGTGTGTGGCTCAAGATGGGCAGACATATGGCAGGGGAGAATGAAAGCATTTTCCCTCCCTCCACTAGCTGAAATGGTACAAAAGTGTCAAAAATCTTTTTCCATCTTGTGTGTGTGCCTTTTGGATTTTGCAGCTACTTGGGGCTATTTGTTCTATGTATTTTTTATCATCTGTTCTACTCTCGCTGGAAGAGGGAAAAATACACAAGTTCTACATACAGTAGAACCTCTACTTACGACCGCCTCTACTTGGGCCCGATCCAAGTTGCGACCACGACAAACCCGGAAGTAAATACCGGGTTTACCGCAATTCACACACGTGCAGAAGCGGCTTCTGCCGTTTGCACATGCGCAGAACGGTGCTGCCGCCGAATGTGCCTGCGAACAGCGGCGCTTTTACCAGCGACCTGGATTGACTTACGGACGGACCTCCGGAACTGATTACGTCCGTAAGCAGAGGTTCCACTGTAGTTGAAGGTGCCATCTTTCTGTGCTCTGTTTCCTGTCATGCCACCGGACAAGTATTCTATGTAAATTCCCATATCCTTTTTTCATTGCCCCCTGCTGGCTGTGAGAGGAACTAGAGCATTGCACCCTCTCCCCCCGCCACCCCAACACACACATTATGCTCCTTGGTGTTCTCCTTCTTTCTCATTGAGGCCGTTCACACTTTACAAAAGCTTTGTATGGAAAGCATTTTCACACAGGCACAAGCTCACCACAGGCAGACCACCACATGCACACTGCATAGAGTGAAATATGGGAACGTGCAAGTGTCATGTGTTCAGGTCTACCTGAGGGCGGTAAGCTAGCTGACTTGAAAGCATTCTCAGATTTGTAAATAGCCCAGGATTAGCAATGTAAATGTATCCAGGTTTTTATGTTCAGCTTGCTCAATGCTGGGAGTGAAATTATGATCCTCTTCCCATTCTGCCTGATGAAGTGTTCGGCGAAACCTAATGCTTGCTTTCTCCGGCACTAACCCAACCAAATGTATAATTTTCCTTGTCTTGCACTTCCACTCATACTCTTCCTGCCAAGTACCAACTTTTCCTGTTCTGACCCATGCAGTCCACAAGGCAGTCCACAAATGACCCCAAAGCTAGACTGGACCGCAAACCTCTTCTTCCCCCTTCTGCTCAGTGTTGCTGAGGAACCTACACTTGCTCTGCACTGTAAATCTGAAGTAGCAACAGAACAGTTTTCACCTTGGCACCTTGAAGTGCACCTGGATTTTAAAATATGCCACAGGCCTCTGCAGCAGAGGCGGACTTTGGTAAACTTTGATAATATGGTGTCCTGAGCGAGGCGAAAATTTGGCACACCCAAATGGATCTTCTCAATTATGGATCTTCTAAATTTTAAACTCCCTCAGCTCAACACCCTGTGTGGGGTAACAGCCTGTACCTCCCTGAATCTCACACTGTCTGTGGTGGTCCTGCTACTTCTCTGTTTGTTAGACTTTGCCAACCTCTGAAGTTGTTGAACGGACAACTGCTGAGCAGGCAGTCCATGGCAGCCTCCTGAGCCTCCTCAGCATTTCAGCATTTCAGGGGGTCATCTGTGTCACTTGTCCCTAAATCCTGCCCTGGCTTGGTACATATGAAGCTATTGTGCTCTGCAGTGCAGCAAGGCAAGACCCAACCAAAATGGGACAGGGCTCAAAGGGGGAACAGAGCTCTGAAGCTGTTCCAGCAAGGAACAAGCTGGAACTGAGTCCATGCATAGCAGCAGTTCCAGGCATAGCCTAGTTGTTAGCCCCACCTGTGCTGCAAAAGAGGCTGTTCTACTTGGAGAGCCTAGCCTCTTTCAGTAGTCTTCTACTGTGATGGCATACCCTCCAACATTTTTATCCCCCAAATCGGGCTGCCTTCCGTTCGGTTGCTCTGGTGCTCATCAGCGGGTTCGTGCTGGTGCACTCACTCACACCAGAGTCCCGGACCAAAAAATCGGACTTTCCAGGATGCAAACAGAAGCTAGGATTGTCTTCTGTGATTCTGGGAAATCTTTCTTAAAATGGGACAGTAGAGAGGTATGTGATGGAGCAGGAGAGACTCAGCTCTTCCTGGATCTTCGGTAGTGGAGCTTTCTGAGTTAGGGGTGCCACTGCCCTCCCTGCTTTTCTTTCAGAGTCCTCACCCACATTTCCTGAAGATGAGGAACCCAACCCAGCCATGATGGAAACTGTCTTAGATTAAGTCAGGTCACTTGTTCATGGATCCCAAGACTGTTTCTACTGACTAGTAGTGGTCTTCAGGACCTGAGGCCCAGCCTTCCTCAGACACTCTTGGATCCCAGTCTTAGCCTTCCACCAACGCAAGAGAAAGGTCAGAGACTAATCTTTCTGTGCCCAAGTAGGTGCTTAGCCACATAGCTCTAAATCTTCCACCACCACACATTTGAAGCACCTGCATCCTGGGTGATCCCCACAGACACAGCCTTCTCCACCGCCAATTTCAAAGCAAAATGCCTCCATTAGGCGCACCTCTTCACCTAAATCTGGGGTGTGGTGCTGGAGCTTTCCCCTTCTTCCCGAGGTGTCAGTGTAGCTCTACATGTGTTCTCATTCTTGGGGAAAATGTTCATGATTATTTCATTTTGTGGCGGTAATGGAAAATACATTTTAGTGCTTGTGTTCCACATTTGCAATTCATGTTCCCATACATGATTACATTAAGTCTGTGTTCTGTCATTTTTGATGAATGTAGCTTGTTTTCCGTAAAAAACAGACCCTGGGATGGAAAGTGACAGAAGTGAAGCTGTAACAAAGGATGATCAATTTTTCATAGCCACGCCACCATAGGCAAGAGGAAGTCCCTTGGAACCTCAAGGGCGGCTTAGGGAGGGGGGTAAAGGGAACTCCAGTCACACAGAGAAGTGTGAACCCACAGCTATCCACTGCAGTGGTGGAAGGACAATAATGGGGTGGCGATGGCTGATGGTGACGCCCTTTCTTCACCGGAGGTTGACAAACTGCCTTTTCATTATCAGCTCACTGGTTCAAATGTCACTCCTGTGAGTGGATTTTGCATTATCCGATTGACCTTGGCTCTGGGGAGAGAGGCGCTAAGCGCAGTGGTGGGGCATGTGTTTGGCATGTGGAAAATCTTCTGGTTCAGTCATTGGCATCTCACTGCACAGGATACTGTGTAGCATTAGCTGGGAAAAGCCTTGCTCAGATCCTTGGAGAGCCACTGTCCAGTGACGAGAGCAAGTAGGACTGGGCTGGAGCGATCATCAGCATCACTAAGGGTCAGGGTCTGCATACAGGCTGCATACACACTATTTAAAAGACATTTTAAGTATGCACCCCCCCCCCCGAATCCTGGGAACTGTAGTTTACCCCTCTCATAGCAACAATTCTTAGCACCCTTACAAACTACAGATCCCATAATTCTTGGGGGGGGGGAGTCATGTGCTTTGAAGGTACGGTGTGTATGCAGTTTAAAGGCCAGAACTTTAATTTAAATCCGTTTTTGCTTAAAATCAGTCGGTACTGGGAATGCACTAGTGTAACCTACATCAACGAGAAGGAATATATGAATGACAAAGTATTCTTCCCTGTTTTCTAATCTGCATTAACCAGTGCACAAGCAACATAACATGTGAGGGCTGACGCAAGATTTGTTGCAGGCAAAAGTTTTAAATATTTCCTAATGCACATCACCCTCCCGGCAGTACACACATGTGGTTGGATTGAACTACGTCCAACTCAGAGTGGACCCACCGAAATTCATGCACCAAAGTTAATCACTTTGATTAACGTCATTGTGTCTACTCTGTGTAGGCCATGGACTTTCCTAAAACACAAATCTCTATGCTGCCCTTGCTGTGACAAAGCACACTATTAAAATTGCTCTGTGCTATCACCTGAAGTATCCAGAGTTCCAGGACATAACCCCCAAATCATTACAAAACAGAACCTGAGAGGCTTGACTTACCTGAGATCTATTTCTCAAATGATTTGCCAGATAAAATAAGTAATAACAAATGTCCTTTGCCATCTGTTGTAAGGAGGCAAGGGAAGAGACCACACACACCTCCTTGGGACAGCTGAAAAGCACCACCACAGAGAAGGCTCAAAAACTGCTGCTTGTCAGGTGAGAGGATATCACTACATTTTGGAAAGTCACCAAGGATTTGGGACTGGGGAAAGCTGATGCAGAGATATGTGCTATATTGAAATAAATTAAATAAAGCTTTCAGCTAGCATGGGACCTGTGAAAATGTGGGCAGCGTCTGCAGGTTGTTTCCATATAGGATCTCTCATGCAGGGCCAGCCCTATCATGAGGTAGAGTGAGGCAGCCAACTTGCAGAGCAGATTGC